GGCCGCGCCTCAGCCGGGGGAGCGCGCTCTCCCGGCGACCCACGCGCGCACTTCCGTCTGCAAGCTGTGAGTGCCTTTGACGCTAGCTTGAGCGGCTGGTGGAAGGATCAGTCAGGACTCGGCGCGTGGCGGTGACGTCATCGGAAGCCAAGCCCTTAGAGAAATGAGACGCGGCTAGTGTGCGCTGGCCGACTAAAGGCTGGCAAAGTGTGTGTCCCTCGCCAGTTCTTGGGGAGCGGGCGGTGCATCCGCAAACCATAGCCCAGAGCTCTGAGCACCTGAGTTTTGAGTCCCTGTGTGGAGCTGCGGCATACCTGCACGGCGACGCACCTCGTATCTGAGCCCTTGTGTGAGAGGCCTAGCTGGTGGTCCTCGTGAGCACCTTGGTCCAGGCAACAGACGAGCCAGGCGATGAGTGAGAAGCTGGACACGGAAGTAAAGCAAAGGGAGACATGCAGGAGATGTGGACGGGGTGGGCGGAGGTGGGTTTGGGCAGCAGTCATTACTGTTGGATCAAAGACAGGAGGGGGGAGAACTGGGTCTTAAGAGTAAAAGCGGGTTTGGCCAGGGCTGCGTGTAGTGTGAAAAAAAAAAATGGAGATTTGTCAGCGGTTTGTGGAGCAAGCCAGAGGCAGTGGTCATACTAGTTACAGCCTTCAGCCTGGCCCATCTGTTTCCACGTAGGTTCCGGAGCACATGGAGGATGGCGGCCAGGACGCCAGTGCAGTACAGAGCTCTGCGGCCCCACTATGTCAAGAAGAAAAGAAAGAGGGGCCTGGGCCAGCTGCAGGGCCTGGAACTCAGCCTGGGCTCTACAGCTACATAAGGGATGACTTGTTCACCTCAGAGATCTTTAAACTGGAGCTTCAAAATGTACCTCGCCACGCCAGCTTCAGTGACGTCCGACGTTTTTTAGGCCGTTTTGGCTTACAGTCCCACAAAATCAAACTCTTTGGACAACCTCCATGTGCCTTTGTAACATTTCGCAGTGCTGCTGAACGAGACAAGGCCTTGCGAGTGCTGCATGGTGCTCTTTGGAAAGGCCGCCCACTCAGCGTACGCCTGGCCCGACCCAAGGCTGACCCCATGGCTAGGAAGAGGCGACAAGAAGGTGACAGTGAGCCACCAGCAACACAGATTTCCGATGTGGTGACCCCTCTTTGGACAGTGCCCTACACGGAGCAGCTGGAGCAGAAGCGACTGGAATGTGAGCGAGTGCTACAGAAACTGGCCAAGTGAGTGTGGCACTGAAGTCCCCAGCAGAGCTGGGTTTTGCTCTTGGCCTGGTCCATTAGCCTTGTAAACAATTCAGGATAAACACAGATGTCAATGGTTCTCAACCTGTGGTTCACCAGACTCACAGGGGTTGCCAAAGACCATCAGAAAACACATTTATATTATGATTCATAACATTAGCAAAATTACAACTACAAAGTAACAAAAAATGTTATGTTGGGGATCACAACATGATTACACCGTCCCACACACCATTAGGAAGGTTGAGACCCACTGGTCTAAAGTGGTCAACTAAGGAACCCATTAGTAAGGCCCATGATGACAGTGGAACAGTGAGATTGACAAATACAGACGCGGAACATGTTGAGTCCAACCATGATGTATTTCATCCTGCAGGGAGATTGGGAGCACTAACCGTGCCCTACTGCCCTGGCTGCTTCTGCAGAGACAACAGCACAATAAAGCTTGTTGCCCACTGGAGGGGGTCAAGCCATCACCCCAGCAGGTCAGACCGAGAAATCCCATTCTGTGTGGGGTGGGGGAGGCTGGCCTTGTTTTGTTATGCATATGCTCTTTGACATTTTTCTTGCTTTTCATTTCTTCCCAATGTTTGATAAACCAGAGGTAAAACCTTGTTCTGTCTGCCACTCCTTGGGCAAATCTGGGTCTTTTGTTCACTATGGTATTTCTTCCAGTGCTAGGTAATGACTCGTTACTACATTCTCTCCTACAGACTGAGTATCGTAATAAATGTGAATTTCTGGTCGGAGTTGGGGTAGATGGAGAGGACAACACTGTTGGCTGCCGGCTTGGCAAGTACAAGGGTGGCACGTGTGCTGTGGCAGCTCCCTTTGACACCGTGCACATTCCAGAAGCCACTAAGCAGGTGGTGAAGGCCTTCCAGGAATTCATCCGGTGGGGACCTTGCCTGGGGCCTGGGCTTCTGGGACAAGAGGATGTGGGGCCTGCACTGGCAGTCGTGGATGTGGGGTGAGGGGACAGGGTGCCAGGACAGACATGCACATACTGAGTACACTTGTGGTTTCTTCAGTTCCACACCATACTCCGCATATGACCCTGAGACATATACAGGCCACTGGAAGCAACTGACTGTTCGTACCAGCCGCCGAGGCCAGGCCATGGCCATTGCATACTTCCATCCCCAGGTCTCGGGTGGTGGTCCTGTTGGGGTGTGTCTGGTGTAGGCTGGCTTTTGCATAGACTGATGAGCATTTTATATCCTCTGCTACAGAAACTGAGCTCTGAGGACATGGCAGGACTAAAGGCCTCCTTGGTGTGCCACTTCATGGAGGGGCCAGGCAAGGCCAGTGGGGTGACCTCCCTCTACTTTGTGGAGGAAGGACAGAGGTGAGGAACCCAGGTGGGGGCAGGAGGGGCCAGACAGGCCAGTGACCTTTACAGATCTGCTTCCTCTTGTATAGAAAGACTCCCAGCCAGGAAGGCCTGCCCCTGGAGCATATGGCTGGTGACCAGTGCATCCAGGAAGACCTGCTAGGGCTGACCTTCCGCATTTCCCCTCATGCATTCTTCCAGGTAGTGTACCCCTTGTGAACATAAAGACGAGGGAGGGAAGCCAATAACTAGCCTTGAAGAGAGATTTATAGAGAGCATTCAGGTAATGGGGGCCCCAGAATAAGGTACAGGGCAGGAAAGGGATATTTACTACTGATGAGCCCCTTTGCAGTTAGCTCCAATGATAGGTGTGGCCGTGTTGCTTCTGCGGAACCCAGAACAGGATCATCTGCTTTCATTGTTGTAAAAACCCTATGGAGATTGGGGGGTTGGGAAGAGTACAAGGTATGCAGTTACTCTCAGTTGCCCCAGGGGAAGTTGTGAAGTGGGGGGGGGGAACTTCCCACTGATGGGAGTCTCTGTTGTAAGGATTTGGTTAAGGGACTGGGTGAGGTCACTGGTATGTAGAAAGAATGGGACCTAGGCAACATGGGATGCTAGCCTACCTTGGAGTATACTATGGTTAACTAATTTCCAGGTAAACACACCTGCAGCTGAGGTGCTCTACACAGTCATTCAGGAATGGGCGCAGCTAGACGGGGGCAGTACAGTGCTGGACGTGTGCTGTGGCACTGGTACCATAGGCCTGGCCCTGGCCCCGGTAAGCTTTCTAGACTAAGTAATAACATCGCCCTACTCTGTTATCATGAACCTGAGACTTGAGTCTACTGCCCTGACCCTGACAAAGCCCAGTTGTGCTGTGTCTTCCTTTCCCAAGCAACCAGGGCAATGGGGCTTATCCATGTTTCCATTTCAGAAGGTGAAGAGAGTAGTTGGGATTGAACTGTGCCAGGAGGCTGTGGAGGATGCCCGTATGAATGCCCTCACCAATGGTGAGAACCTTTGCATTACATAGCAGTCGGTGGTCTGGAACAACAGTAACCTCTACTGTATAATTACTGTCTTACAATGTCTTGAGATATTGAGACTCTTCTGAGGAATGGGGTGCTGAGGGATCTGTAAATCTGGCTCGAGAAAGAAGTTATTTTGGCTCAGCCTGCTAGGCCTTCCCAATGGTGGGCCCACAGTCCACTGACTATGATTATCCCTAGAGCTGAGCAACGTTGAGTTCCACTGTGGCAGGGCTGAGGATCTGGTACCAGGCTTGGTGAGCAGACTGTCTTCCCAGCAACTTCTAGCTGTTCTGGACCCACCACGAGCTGGCCTACGTGAGTGGCTTCCATTTAAGGGGAGGCAGTACCAAAAGCTTAAAAAACTCCACCTACGTTGGGCAATCAACCACTAGCTCCTGTCTGACTTGCTAGATTCTAAGGTGATTCTGGCCATCCGGAAAGCTGAGAACATCAAGCGGCTCCTGTATGTTTCCTGCAACCCCAGGGCAGCCATGAGCAACTTTGTGGAGTAAGTGTGTGGGGCAGAGCACCTGCTTGCTACCTAGAAGAATTTCTGTGGGGCTAATTTCTGGGTACCTCTCTCCTACCAGTCTCTGCAGGGCCCCATCTAACCGAGTAAAAGGCATCCCATTCTATCCAGTCAAGGCTGTGGCAGTGGACCTGTTCCCACAGACTCCACACTGTGAGATGCTTATCCTGTTTGAGAGGATGCAACAACACCCCAATGGCATAGGAGCCCTGGAGAATCAAGACCTTCAAACCCCAAGAAATCTTTCTGATATCACTCCACAGGAAACAGAGACTTCTCTCTCATCCTAGGGGAAGTACAGAACAGTAAGCAGAAGATGACAAAGCAGTGGTGGGGCTTGCCTACCTAGCTGGTTCAAAGAGCAAACACCTGTGTTCTAATGATGGGATAGCCAGATTCTAGAATAAATATTTGCTGAATTTACTGACATTTTTGTGGTGAGGCAGAGCCTTAACTCACTCCTACTTGCCACCCATTAAGGTACACGCCTTGGACAGTCCTTTCTTGAAGGGTATGACCTTGAACTCATAGCTTTCATGTCCACTTTCCCCAATACTAGTACTATGTGCTTGTTTTTAGACGGCATCTCTATGTAGACCAGGCTAGCCTCACAGATGTGCTTGCTTATGACTCACTCCAAGGCTAAAGTGTGCTGAATGCCAAGGCTTGCTATGTTTTAGGACCAAGTATTCCAGGGGGGCACTGAGGATGGCTGAACACAAACCTAGGCTGAGTTCATATTGAGTTAGGTGTATCCGCTAAGACACTTAAGAACACAATTGATAGTCCTGGCCAGCTGAAGATCCATAAAATATCCAGCACTCCCATCAGAAGAAAGAAACCAGCCATTCCCTTTTGGACAGTTTTATGTGTTCAGACCATCAGGGTACACCCTACAGCCTTGGCCAACTCACAGAAACAGCATTAGCACAGGCTCCCCCCTTGCAGCATGACTTTACATGTAAGACACACCCACCTGTAAGAGACAGGAAGGGCATAAGAGACCAGGAATGTGTAGCAGCACCTGTAGTTGACAGTGCCTGGGTCTGGGTCGGTGAGGCTGCAGAGATACCAACATTACCATATGCTTTTTCAATGTCAAGTCTGTTTTAAGGGCAATGGTTAGTCAAAAGACTGAACACATTGAATGGGAGGCAGAAAACAATCAAGTGCCCAAGTCTATCAACTTAATTGAGGGTTCTTTTTGCCAAGATTAACACAGACATTAACTGCTGTCACACATGATTAGGGAGGAGGAAGATGCTGTTGGGAGGCACACAGTTGCTGTTCTGACAGAACATGCCACCCATGTATCTTCAGGTACATGTGAGAGAGATACACTGAGACTGTAGAGTGTAGCCCCCCTGATGGTACTGGGCCAACATTTGACCAAGACTAGGACTCTGAATACACCTCTACTCAATACCCATTTACAGGGGTTATCCAATGAGTGCAGGTAGACAAAAACCACCTGAAATCAGGCCTGGCTGCACAGAGCAGCTACCCTTGAGATCAAGAGAAGCCATAACTACTTATGTATAATGTGCCAGCCAGCTTTGTCATTGATGGGTTACACTGAAAGCCCCTGTTGCCTATTCATACATGTCAATCTGTTGAAATGCATGATTCTAAATCTTTCATTCTTACTGTAAAAGTTTCTTTCCAAATTTTAAAACATCATAAAAGCTTTAAAAATTGATGAACAGATGGGCTTGATTGTGCAAAAATCTCTGTAAAAAATTGTTGCTGGAGTTTATCGAAGGTAGAAGCTCCAGTATCCAGAAGACGGCTGTTAGGACATTAAGACTTTATAAGAAAAAGGGTCAACCAGACTAACACTCAATATCTTGACGGTTCAGTATCTTCACTGCAATCTCTGAAGAATATTTCTGGTGCTAAAATTTTATTTTAAGCCAAAATAGCCTGAAATATTCCTTTCTGTTATAACTTTTTCAGAAGAAAATGGGCAACACACAAAGCAGGTAATACTACAGGCCAGGATACCTGCACCTTCTGACCAAGTCTCAGTGGCTACACCAGAAAGAACCATAGCAAAGGAGCTACCTGGCATCATAGGCCAGCCAAAGCTATAAAACCTGGTCATCTCATCTATCAACAAAGTGTTACTTCTTGTCAGTGCATATAGTGTACTAAAGTTAATGAAAACTTTCATAAAAACAGTCTGCAGCAGATACAAGCAGGATCTACAGCTGTTTATCAGCTTCCACTTGTGCAGTTAACTTATAACTGATCCTTAAGTATATCCAGTCACATTGAGAGCAGCTTGTCCAGAACTGCTTCTTTGCATGTGTACTGTGTGGTCACAGCTGTCCCCATGTGCCAGAGCCAGAGCCCAGACACTGCCACAGGGAAGGAACTTAGGTTGGCGGCCTGGTGCTGCAGAGTGATGATGTGTGGCTGACGGTCTCCTGGGTAGCACTGCTGGCCCACGCTGCCTACCTCATACATCCACTGTGCACAAGGGCTCACCACCAGGCTGGGCAGATGCTACAATTGACATCTTGGGTTTCTTCCGAGTTTCCTCCTGGAAGAACAGAGGTCAATGATGCAAAAATTGGGCCAAGCAAAGAGGTTCACAAGGGTGAAAAGGTGGAAGCCCCTGAATTGCAAGAGCACAAATGCTTGTGATACCTGGCTAGGAGGGAAGGTAGAGGGAGCTGGCCAGATTGGGCCAGGCCTGGAGGGTCTCCTCAGAATGCCAGGGTAGACTCCCATGTGCTGCAGCTTCCCTGGCAATCTAGAGACACCCAGAATGGAAGAATTTGCAACAAACTGGGTTCCAGCCTGCCAGGGTGTCATCCTAGCCTTGCTTGCTTGCCCAAAAGCCCAGTGAATTTCCCCACAAATAGAAGTATGTGTTTTGGGCTTATTGCTTTGATCCCCACAACTAATCTAACAAGAGTCAAGCTAGAAAGTCCTGCTTATTCTAGTAGACAAGGCCCACCCCTACCTGAGAGCAGTAGAAAGGGAACAGGCAAACAGACACTTGGTCCTCAGAGTCCGTGTTTATACCTGGGCCATGCCACCAGAGCTGGAAAGGCTCCCAACTCAGAAGGCCTAAAGGTATGAGTGATTACAAGATATTGCCTGAGGCCAGGAAACAATGTCAATAATACAGCCCACTTGGAATAAGGTACCTATGGCAGTTTTAGGAAGTTTCACCAAGACTAAGTTCTAACAAGACTTATGTTTTTGAGTTATCAAACAAGGCCAGTGTACAATCCTTTCTCTCAAATACTTGACTCCAAATTGGAACCGTTAGCCACTAAAAGGCTGGTCTGTCTGCTCTCTAACTCAACTAAAATGAATTTGTTTTAGGAAAGCAGAACTGATAGAACTTAAAGAAAAGCCAACCTCATCTGGAAGAAGGGTTAAGCATCTCCAGAGTCAGGGGTCAGAAATAGGCTCCTAAGATCTAACTATAAGTAAGGTGCTAACCCAGCAATTCTGATGGGTCAGAAACTATGATATGTTAAGAGAGAATACAGGGGTAGATGGTGAGTTTCGAGAGTAGGGAGGCAGGTGGCCTGGGGAAGGGGTGAGGAAGGGAGATAATCACCCGCTCTGCAGCCAGTCTCTTCATCTCTTCTTGTAGCTTGCTCAGGATGTGAAGATTGGGCCTGTTCTTCTTGGCATACTGTTGTAGCTCTATCACACTCTTGTCAGAGGTCTCCTAGGGACCCAAAGCCTGCTCTCAGAACTGCCAAGTAGCAGTATGCTCAAGTAGCAGTATCCACCCAAATCAGGAGTGTAAGGACTTGGTGAGGCACAAGTGCACACCAGTGGCTTACCTGTGATAAAGCATTCGTTCCCTGAGCTCCCTGGTCTCTTCTGGACACTGTTCCATCCTCCATAATTAGACCTCTGTGTGTTTACTAGCTGAGTATAAAAGTCAAGCACTCACTATGCTAAGAACCCTTTGATGATTCCAACTGAGACATAACACAGCCAAATAGCCTGCTCAGTTGTTCTCTTTGGTACTCTTCCCTTCTTGGCTTGGAGGCCACAGCAAAGGATGCTCACTGAGTCTTAGAATGCCAGAACTCCTCAAACAAGGGCCATTCACTATCCAGTTGAAAGAAACCTCTGTCCATGGTTGCACCAATGTTCCCTCTCTGTCTTAGCCTCAGACTATGTACCTACACTTCAACTCATGAAAAATGCTTCTATTCAGGCTGAAGATGCAACTCAGTGGTACAGTCTTAGTTTAGCCTGTACAAAGCCCCAGGTATGATCCCCAGCAGTAGGAGGGAGAAGAATCAGAAAAAAAGAGAAGTAGCCTTATATTATTTGTTTTCCATGTGGCTCCTGGACTCCTGCCTTGAGCAAGGACAGGGCCAAGCCCCAAGTCTTGGGGAATCTGAAGGGGTGCTGAGTTGCTCTAGACTATTTGCTCAGCTCAAGGCAGGGTAGCTCAAGGGTCCACAGCACAGTCTTCAGGGTCTCCACCTATACTCCTTTAAGTGATGGGATCCTGATGATCCAGGTAGTTTCGGCATATATTAGCAGAAAATGTAAAAAAATGCTGGTGACGCAGCTGGGTTCCATTAGTACCTAACACCACTTCCCAATCTTCCCATACCCAGTTTGGAAACTGATTTAAATTCTGAGATCTGGGCAAAAACCTCAGAAACAAAACAGACAATACACATACTCTTTAAGCCACTGAGAATCAACTAAAGTCTTGAGGACTGCCAAAGGACTGGTTTGCGAAGCTTCACACAACTCAACACCAGATAGTGTTCACTGCCTACATCTACTGTCTGGTTTGTGACAGGCCTGATAGTCTAGGATTGCCCCCTAATGGTTCATACTTAACTGCCTGACAGACTCAATAGGAAAATGAGGCTCAGGTACTCCCACCCTTAGCTTGCACAATCACTGGCACAGCACATAGGCATAATTAAAAGTAGTGCTACCTAGCCTGACCTTGACAGCAAGCCCCAAGCCAAAGCAAGAAACAGGGAAGCAGAGCGATTGCCAGAAGACAGGACAGTCTGGTTACCTGCTTGACCATTTTGCTGCTCTCACGACCATACATGCGCAGTAAGGACCCCCAGTTCTTTACATGTGGGTGCAGCAGCTGAAGGATTTTCTGAGATGCTAATTGTTTCCCAACTCGCTTATTCTTACCTGTGAGGAGAAAATAGAGGTGAGAAGACAGTAGAACCTTCTCTGGGTACCTAGGGAGCCCATGCAGAAAATTCCACAAGAGGGTAGACAGTGCTTTGCTACTGTGCTGGACATCGTGACTCAGTTCTGAGTCCAGAGATCTTGACACAGGTACCAACCACCCTATTAAGCAGCTTTCAGGAGTTCCAAGTAAGGACTTGTGAGGAAGCTATTGGCTGCTCAGATTCACTCAGCCTTCTCACCAGCCTATTTCTGTGGGAACTTGAGTTTGTATGGTGCAGCAATAGCCATAGGTGATAGAAAACCTCTAGATCTGAATGTGAGCTTGCAATTTTCCAAGGTCATCTATGTATTATCTCCACATACATACAGACATATCACTAATCTTACTTGTAGTGGTTAGTGTTTTATTTTATGGTTTTATTTTTATTTTTTATTTTCTTTTATTTTTTATTTTTAAGGTCTCACTATGTTGTTCAAGCTAATGTTATACTCACACCCTCACATGATTCTCCTGCTGGATCTACACCATGTTTAACTTAATATTGACTTTTACTAAGCAACCATGTTAAATGTAAAAGCAGAGGAAGGTGGTGCCTAGAGACCAAATATAGGAGTGCAGATAGATGGATAGCCATCAGGAGGCACCCCAGTCAGCTCCTCAGGAAAGCAGTCCCTTTATCCCACCAGAGATAGGCTGATTAGAAGTAAGAGCAGCAACAATGGAACAGGAGGGAGAATGCAAGGAGGATGACCACCTATCTAGTTTCAGATGAAGGTGTGATGGCCAACACACAAAACTGGTGCTTAGAATGACTGGCAGAGCAGTAGTAGCAGCCCAGGCCAGACACCCTCATATTAGAAAATGCTAGCCATACCCCAGCAGTCCTCTGAAAACATGCCAGTCTATGAGGGAAGCAGGGGAGGAGAGAGATTCTTACACCACCCGCGCACTGTGTGTTTGCCGCATGCCATAACATATTCGCTCTTCTGGTTTTTCCCAGGAACCACTTCAAACTTGATAGATGTGTCACCCATTCCATGGTTTCTTTTAGGAGAAAACAAAGATGAGAAGACATTACTGGATGATGCTTATACATGGTGACTTCTGGAGAGGGTTACTATACAATCGAGTCCACTAATGGCTCTCCAAAGAAAACCCAAACCCCTCCCTAGATGTTCAGCAGACAATGGAAGGTTCTCCAAACACGAATTTCAGTTACCCAGGGCTCACCTATCAGCCAGAGCCAAAGGTCTCTTGTATACCCAGGCAAACAGATAATGATTCTCTCTACCTTGGGACAAACAGCCCAGTAAAGTTTTGGGATGCTCCAGAGGAGCATCCATGACCTGATTCTTAATAGAGATGCAGCTTACCCTACCTTTTAAGGCACTCATGGAGGATCTGATATGGAGACAACAGCCCAGCCTTGCTTGTCAGCTCGTAGACTCGTGAATCCTCAATACTGATGTGGTTAAAATACTAAATAAAACACAAAGCACGTGTTTGTCCATCTCAAACAGGCCCATACCTTTAAAGTTATGCCACAGATAATGAACTTTTTTGTTATCTCAATAAAACATGCCATACCCTAGATATCCCTGTTAGTTAATAGAACTATTTGGGAAGTATTAGGAAGTGTGGCCGTGTTGGAGAAGGTATGTTCTAGAGTGGACTTTAACAGTTTCAAGCCCATTCATAGTTAGATTCATTCTCTCTCTTCCTTCTCCCTCTCCCTGCCTCCTGCCTGTGAATGACATGTGAGCTCTTAGCTACTTCTTGAACACCATGCCTGCCTGCCACCACTTCTCTCATCATTATGGTTGTGGATTAACCTTCTGAAACTGTAAACCCTAATGAATTCTTCTCTAAGTTGCCTTGGTCATAGTGTTTTGTCAGAGCAATAGAAAAGTAACTAAGACATGTAGGGAGAGATATTTTGCACAGCAAGGCTCAGGTAGGCTAGGGATAGGAGGAACAGCCATGAAATGCATGTAACAAAGGATAAAGGCTCAAAATTGAATAGCTAACAGATCCTTGCCTGTACTCAGTGAACAGAAGATTGCCAAACAGCTCAGCTCACTCTATAGCACAGACAGCACAGTCATGCACTGATAAGTCTACCAGTTGATGGTGGATCACATATTCAAAGATAGTCCAATGGGATTTTATAGCCTAGCAACATTAGAGTCATCCTACTTTGTGTAAGTCCACTCTATCTGGTTTCCATAAGTAAATCATCTAGGCAATATACTTCTGTACCACAAGCTGGGTGACTTATAGCAACCACAGTGTATCCTCTCACAACTCTAAAAGGCAAGAAGTAACAATTCAAGGTAGTCAGCAAAGACTACACAGGAAGATCCAGCTTCTGATGGCCTAGCTCCTTTGGCTTATAAGAACAACAAGTCAATCTATACTTAGTATGTTTTCTTTGTTTCTCCCTCTCTGGAAAACCAGTCACAATTATTCAACCACATGTCAATAAATTATACCTATAACCTGGTCTCCAAAGTAAGGCCATATTCTGAGGTACTAAAGATTAGCCCCTCAATGGATCCTTTTCAGAGTCGTAATACAACCCAATCCAGAATATCCAGGAAATTTAAGAGCAAAGATCAACTTTTCAGTTGACAAACCAATAGGAACAAAGAGTTTGAAACAAACATGAAACAATGGGGCCCAGCAGGCAGAAGATCTGCTAGGAGGGGAAAGCCTCTCACCAGTTCAATAGGTACAATCTGCAGAGCCCCAGAGTGCAGACCTTGGGTCACATGAATAAACTAAATCAAGACCTCTCCAGAATGACATATGAACGGCTTTCCTTTGTGTTTGCACTGCTTCAGTGACAACAGTGTATAGAGGAAATTCTTACATGAAGAATCTAGCCAAGACTGGTAAGCATGAACTCCATCTGTCATGGTGGTTTGGTTATTGTCTTCAAACAGGAATCAAAAGATGCCTCTGCCCTCAAACGTGGGGAAGCCACCCTCCTTACCAGGAGTTAGACCCTGGAAGTAACTACAAGAACCAGTTAGGAAGCCAACTGATTAGCAACATGTGCCATGCTCAGCCTATATAACTCTGTTCTACCCAGTCATTAATACCTGACCATCAGGCCACAGCAGACGGCCAACTTATCCCCAACCCAAACTCTTTCCTGGAAGAACCTGACCATACTCACTGGAAAACATACACTCAGAAACACAAAGATGCCTGTGTCTGGTATAAAACTCTGGGCATACAGCCCACAGCAAGCATCTCTGTGGAATTTCTCTAAAGTGCATGGCAAACTGATCATTGGTATTCCGGAAAGACAGCCCGGGAGACCGGAGTACCCAAGGCCACAGATGACAAAGGCTGCTCATGGATAGCCCATGAACAACTACAATCTAAATTGGATGATGGTGTCACATGTCTTTAATCCCAGTACTGAGAGGCAGAAGCAGGCAGATCTCTGCGTGCAAGGTTAGTCTGTCTGGTCTACAGAGTGAGTTCCAGGACAGCTACAACTATACAGAGAGCTATACATTATCTCAATGCCCTGCCTCCCCCCATCTAAAAAACAAAACACTCACCCCACAAAACCAAAAGAATTTACAATCTAGATACTGAGGAATAGCATCTTGAAAATCAGACTTCTGAAACAGCCTTCAGCAATATTCACTCAAGCCAGCCAAATTTGTGGTTTATAAACTATCCCACTAAGAAAACTTAAGTCCAGATGATTTCATTGATAACGACCACTCCACATTTTAAGGAAGAAAAATATCAATTCTATACAAACTCAAAGAGAATACTTCATAGCTTAGCCTACGATGCTACCTGTACCATATTAACACTAGGAGAAAGTACAAACCCAAACTAATCAAAACCTACACAACAGTAACCCTTACAAACACAGATGGGAAAATTATATAGAGTATCATAATGGTGTGTGCCTAATTGCCCATCATTCAGGAGAATAAGGCAGGAGAATCCTGAATTCAATGCCAGCCTGGGCTATGTACCTAGACCCTGTCAAAAATAACACACTGATCTTGGCAGAACACACCTTTAATTCCAGCACTCAGAGAGTAGACTTCCATGAATTCAAGGCCAGCCTCTGTCTACAGAGCAAATTCAAGGCCAGCCTGACAGAAATAAAACAGCATTTCAGGTTAGAAATGATCAACAGGGCAGAGGAGATATTTTCAACCAAATAAAGAATTACTATGAGAACCCCACAGACAACATCACACTCAGTAGTAAGAATTGGATGCTACCTTTTGAGATGAAGAACAAAAGTACCTTTATTATCACCATTAAGACATCCAGACCGGTAAGATAAAAGACTACAATTAATCCTATACACAGATGAATTACTTTTCTGTTGCTGTGTTAAAACACAATGACCAAAAGCAACTTATAGAACAAAGAATTTATTGGGGCTTACAATTCCAGAGGGGTAAGAGTTTATCATGACTGGGGGACATGGTAGTAAGTGGCAAGAATGGTGGCAGGAACAGGAAAGCTAAAAGATCGTATCTCAAACACAAACACGAAGCAGAGAAAGTAGACTGGAAGCAGGCAAGGCTATGAACTCAAACTCTCTCCAAACCCTACCACCAACTGAGGACTAAATATCTGAGCCTATGGGGGACACTTCTTATTAAACACCACAAAAGATGATCCAAAAAACTTATATTAAAAACAATGAGAATGCATGAATTCAGCGAAGTGGAAAGATACAAATCAATTCACAAACAGTAAGTTGTATTTATATGCTAGCAGCAAAATAAAACCAAAGGATTACTCCTTTGACCTTATCACTGTAGGTAGCCCCCAAACCCCCAAACACACAGTATACAATCACATAGACACGAACGTGTAAATTACTATAATAAAAATAGGTACTAGAGAGATATAGCTCAGCACTTAAGAGAGCAGTGGCAAAGTACATGCCTGGTTGGTACAAGGCCATGGGTTCAATCCCTGGCATCACAAAATAAACTTAATCAATCAATCAACCAATCAATCAGGCAGTTTAAAGGCAGTTGGGGATACTAAACAGGAATAAAGGGAATAAAGGATCATTCTGCAACCATCCTCTTTGCAGGCACCATGTCAGCTTCCTCTGAGGCAAATATGGTAATGACCAATGGTCAGTAATAAGGCGGTCTTGAAATAGCTCAGTGGATAAAGGTACTTACTACCAAGTTTGAAAACCTGAATTCAATTCTTGGAATCTATATATAATGGTCCTCTGAACTCTACATCTGTGCAGTGGCATGCATATGCCCACACAATACACACATCACACACATCACACACACACACACACACACACACACACACACACACACGGCTGGAGAGATGACTCAGCAGTTAAGAGTGCTTACAGCTCTTCTAGCTTTCCCAGCATCCATGTTGGGTGGCTTAGAGCTGCCTGTGACTCCACCTCCAGGGGTTCTGGCCTCCCTGTGTTCTTGCACTCACATGGCAAACACACATACAAATAAAATCCATCTTTAAAAAAAAAATAAAATAAATGAATATAAAAAATGTGTTTTCGGGGTCTGGAGAGATGGTTCAGCGGTTAAGAGCACTGACTGCTCTTCCAGAGGTCCTGAGTTCAAATCCCAGCAACCACATGATGGCTCACAACCATCCGTAATGAGATTGGATGCCCTCTTTTGGTGTGTCTGAAGACAGCTACAGTATATTCGTAAATAAAATAAATAAATAAATCTTTAAAAAAAAATGTGTTTTCCTGTTTTGTTTTACATTTAAAATGAGACTAGTTTTAAGAGACCATCTCCAAGCTGCCAATAAATCATTTTTAAGAGCTGGTCTTCTATTATTAGAGCATAAATATACCAGCACAGGTATTTCAGTGACAAAGATCCATAGCTGTTTATAACAAACTGCAGGTTAAAGACAAACCAGTATCAGGATTTTAAACTGGCCCAAAGGAAGTGCTAGCAAGATACCTCAGTAGTAAAGGTGCTTTGCCACATAAACCTAGTTATCCCTGGAACCAAAGTAGAGTTATGAGGGAACGAACTTCATGAAATTGTCCTCTGGCCTCCAAATGCACATGTACACACAACATGAGCATAAGCCTAAACGCATGCACACGCATGCACGCGTGCACACACACACACACACACACTAATAAATTAAAAGATCTAGAAAGTAAACTGTAAACTGATAGTCATTCATATCCTATCTTTGATACATACTGAATTTAGAGAGAGAGAGAGAGAGAGAGAGAGAGAGAGAGAGAGAGAGAGAGA